GATGCGGTGGCAGGACCGGCACGGGACGCAGCGCCCTTCCCATCACAAAAACGCCGCCTGCTTTGGGGGTTTGGTCCGCGCTTTGCCAAGGCACGCGACAAATGTGTCCCGGATCTGCACCCCAAAAGGTGCCAGGGCATAAAAACAGGGAAGTCATTGCATAACGGGGGAAAATGGGATACAAACCCGTCACACGGCGCGGTTACTTCAGAAGCAAGAATAAACAGTATTTAAAAATGTATAAACACAGATGGCATATTTTCCTTAAAAAAGAAAAAGTTTTGAGAAAAATAGAAGCCTCTTGAAAAGGAATAAAACATGAAAAGGAGGAGAAGTGGGTCAGGAAGAAGGAGTCAAAGGGAGGGGGACACGGCCAAACGGAGATCACAGATGGGGCGCATCCCTTGGTGCGTGGGTTTTGCATGGCAGCTCCGGGTTGTGTTATTCTGGGCTGTGGCCACCGCCTCCGTGGAGGTGCGGGGGGCCAGGAGGGACCTTTCACAGAATCACAGGATTGCTTGGTTGGAAAAGACCTCCGAGATCATCACGTCCAACCGCTCCTGTCTACCCCCTAAACCATATCCCTAAGTACCTCGTCTACCCGCTCTTTAAACACATCCAGGGATGGTGACTCCACCACCTCCCTGGGCAGCCTGTGCCAGCTTCTGACGACCCTCTCAGTCAAGAACTTCCTCCTTATCTCTAACCTGAACCTCCCTTGGCACAGCTTGGTGCCGTTTCCCCTTGTTCTATCCCCCATCACCTGGGAGAAGAGCCCAGCACCCACCTCTCTACAAGCTCCCTTGAGGCAGTTGTAGGTGGGGATGAGGTCTCCCCTCAGCCTTCTCTTCTCCAGGCTAAACAAGCCCAGTTCCCTCAGCCGCTCCTCATCAGGCTTGTTCTCCAGAGCCCTCCCCATCCTTGTGGCTCCTCTCTGAACACGCTCCAGAATCTCAACATCCTCCTTCTAGGGAGGGGCCCAGAACTGAACACAGCACTCGAGGTGCAGCCTCACCAGTGCCGAGTACAGGGGGATGATCACCTCCCTGGCCCTGCTGGTCACACAGTTTTCCCTGCGGAGCATCAGCGCTTGCTGTGCCCGGTGGGCTCCGGGGGCCAGGTGAGGGTCCCTGCAGGAGGAGCGGCAGAAACAGTCGCTTTTGGAGGTGTTTTGTCATTCGGGGCCCGGGGAGGCAGCAGGCAGCGGTGCCTGACTGCAGCGCAGTGTCTGGGTGCAGGCCGAGGGGTTTTCCTCGTGCGGGGGGGATCAGGCGCCGCTGCGTTAGAGCGGGGCCACGATGCACGAAAGGGCACCTCCACTTTTGGGCGTCTCCACCTCCACTTTTGGGCGACTCCAGACGCGGTCGGGCTCAAGGCCGGGATGCGAACCACGCGATTCGTGGGGTGCGAGCAGCGGAGCAGCAGCTCTGGCTCTGCGTGGGAGGGCGGACGTGGTGACCTTGGCCTCCTGTGCTGTTTGGGCGGCGGGGTAGCAGTGTGTGCTGTCACGGGGGGGGACACAGGGCTCTGCTCCAACCACTGCCCCCGAAAGCAGCGCGGGGGTGCTGCTCTCTGCCCACCCTGCCCTCGGCTACGACTCAGCGTCCAGGGCACGGGATATTTTTTATGGCCAAATGCATGAGCTGGCTCTGGGACTGACAAGAGTCCCCGAGTTATCGCTGCTGATTACCCCCATTCCCTGCCCTGTGTTGGGGAGGCGTTTCCTTTCTCAGCCCTAATCCTTGTGCCCTGGGCTCTGGGATATCGCAGTTGTCCCCATCGCTCAGTTTTTCAGGTTCCCTGTTCCCATAACCCTGCTGTGAACAGGGGAAGGGTCACAGGCTCGACGCTTGCAGTGATCATCACAGG